CATTCTAGTAGGTGGTGGTAATGCACACCACAAGTTGTTTGCCAACCATATATAAAAATATGAGGAAGAAGCAGAATCGAGCTGAATGTTTGCCGTCCTGCTGCAGGAGGGTAAACATCTGATAAACAAGCATCTTTGAACGCAAGTTTAGCAGGTACAACGGCATGTTAGGACCATTTTGCAGATTGAAAGAAAARGAGTAAATCACAGTCAGAAAACTCTGAAATTTTGAGTTTTTTCAAGTAAAAAAAATTCTCGTACATTGAAAAGTAGTGCGTTTGCGAGATAAAAACTCAGAAATGTCCATGTTTAAAGACAAAACATTTTTGATATTTAAACAAAATATTTAATTTCCAAGAAAATAAAATAACTTTTAAATTTATCAGAAAAAAAAAGGAAGTTATTCACGAATGGCTAAAGGGCAATTCCACTTGTGTTTTCACTACCTGGAGTTGATTATTTTACACTTATTGCAAAATATTTAAAACCAAGTGTTGATTTGTGAAACATAGTTMATTTGTGAAAAAGCAGCACAGGGTGATTTCAGCATGTTTTATGCGTTGTATGAACAAACTGAGCATGAGCAGATGGAGAGGTGAGAGAATCAATAGGATCATCCAAAATAATCATGTATACAGAAAAATCTGAATTTGGAGGAAAAAAGGCTAAATTCTTCAATTAAAGTCAGAATTCTGAGAAAAATGTTAAATTTAGATTTCTTTCTCCCCTAAGAATTCAGACTTTTTAATCAAAAAGTTTGAGAAAGGAGTCAGAATTTGGTCGTTTTAACTCAGCATTCTGAATTTAATCTCTAAATTCTAAGATAAAAGTCTGAATTCTGCGGGGGAAAAAAGTCAAAACTCAAGAAAAATTATATAATCTTTGGCTTAGTATGATCCTCTCTTGGAGGTGCTTTCTTCCGAATTATTGAAAATAATCCTGAAAATGTTGATTCCATTAAAAATGTGTTTGTTTTTCCAACACGCGMGTCATGATTTAGATTTAAAGATGATAGATTTGTTTAATTTAATGTTGACTGCAGATGTTCAGTTTGTTGTTTGTTCTTCAAAATATGAGCTTCTTCCTTGTTGTTTCTGTAAAATCGCCTCGTTGTGTTTCCATTTCAGACGGCTGGGCTTTTCTAAACAACATTGACATCAATCAGCACCGGAGCCTAGAGGACCGTCTTTCAGCGGCCCGGATCCTGATCCAGAGCGATCCCCTGTGTCCCGTGGTCGTGGATGAGATGAGTAATGTTGCTGCCCAGAAGTACGCGGCTATCCCTGAGAGGCTGTATGTGCTGCAGGCTGGCAGAGTCATCTACAAGGTGAGTCATCCTTTTTTAAAAAAATCTCTAACACCTGATCTGGACATTCTGAGAAGCTGTAATCTTTGATGCAGCGATTTGAAATGAAATCTCATCTATAAAAATGTGTGTCGTGTCCAGTTTGAACATAATTAACACACAGTTCAAAGCTGGCGTTAGTGATGTTATCAGGTGAAAAACAATTTCACGCTTTAAAGAGCAATGGTTAGATCACAGATCAAATTAATTTCACTGCTCGGCGTGCAGACCTGTGTGCTGAAGTTACAGAAACGTGACGAAGAGCGGCAAAAAAAATGAGACGCAGTCGAGGAATTTTTGACACATATTCAGTTTTGTAAAAGTCCTGGTATTGATGAAGACTTGTTGCTGAAAAGTGATGTTTTTATGTTWTTTAGGGAAGAGGGTTAGTGCCACAGAGCAAAAATAAATATTTTTTTCCTTGAAATCTGACTTTGCTATCTCTGAATTGTGAGATCAAAGTGAGATCTATGAAATTCATGTCAGAAATCTGGGATTAAAGTCAAAAAGTCTGACTTTAACCTCAGAATTCGGAGGAAAAATATCAGAATTTGGAGGAAGAGTCAGAATTCTGATTTTAAAAATTCGAATTCTCAGATTAAAGATCAGGATTTTGAGGGAAAAGTCAGAATTATGACATCAAAACCTGAATTTTTAGATTATTGATCGTAATTGTAGAATTTTGAAAAAAAAAATAAATGTCAAAATTCTGAGATAACATTTATTTTTTTATTTTTGCTTTGTGGATCTAATCCTCCTCTTTAGTTATTTCAGATAATTTTTTTAAAAAGTTTCTTATTTTAATTGTCTTGCATTGCTGTTGTCCTTCAGGGGGGGATGGGACCTTCTGGCTACAACCTATTGGAGATTCGCCCCGTCCTACAGAAGATTAAATAAGAACTGAGTCATCCTACCAATCATGTATGAAATCATCTAATGTAATCTGTCATCAAAATCTGACCTTTTAACTGAAACACAAACCCTGCATGTAGTTATAGRACAACTAATAAATTAGTAGAAATAATAAAAAAAATGCAGTAATGTTGCTTTCAGGCTCGTCGACATTCAGAAAACCTCCACTGAGCTTCAGCTCTGTGTTTTTCTAGTGAAGGCTGCAGAATAAACCTTTGGCTTCTGTAACCTGATGAAGWGAAACAGAGTCATCCTCTCAGGGGTTTGGTTTTAAAGTTTTAATAGATGAGTTTCTTCATATTGTTGTCATTTTTAAGTTTTACATTTCTGAATGTTTCAGTTAACATCTGCTGTTTTTTACTGGCAGGATCAGTGAAGCCWGTTCTGTAAAACATTAATGACAGATTGTTTGTTCTAATCAAAGCTTTGTTACTATGTGTCTGTTGGGTTTGCTGTGAGAGTGGATGAATTTGTAAAAACCAAACGTTCATATAATGAAWATCCTAAAACCAAATGTATGCAGTGAAATGTATTTAGAAATATGCTACAGATTAAGACCAAACCTATAAAAGTWCACTCATGCCCTGATGCTGCTCTGWACACTTTTTTATGAGTTTAAAACYCTTGTAAAAATTRAGATTAGATAGAAGATTTAATTATTAATGTCTTGAAAAGACTCCATCTGGAAAATTTAAAAGATTTTGCACACAGATGTAGCTACAACAACAATGTAATATAATATATAAAATATAACACATAAACAGTGCAGCTTTTTTTAGCAGATTTATAAAATTCAATAATTTGCAACAGTTGTTGGAATTTAAATATTTCCATTGAGAAAAAAATCTGTTTTTTCTTTATTTCTTTAGTTTTGAACATGCGTGTCTTTCTGCATTGTCTAGGGGGTGCTGCAGTACCTTCTGCACCCTTACTTCCAAACATCTTTGTTACAATGCAGATCTCTTAAAACTAATTTAATGAAACTTAACCGTTAAAAAGAAAGCAGGCCTTTTTGTATTAACTGAATGAGGAAAAGATGTGTGATATTTTTATTTAAAATAAACAAAAAGCTATTTCAAGATCGTACAGAAAAACCTGGCTTTAAATGCCTAATTTATGCTCAAAATGCTGTTTTGCTGGTCATAGTTTGTTGCCACCAAATAATTTTTTAATAAACCGATAATAAGCTTAAAAAAACCTGAATGAAAATAGATAAAATCCCAGTTTTCCCCACAAACTCATTAAATAGACTAAATATGTTGTGCCCCCTCCTCCAATTATATCCCTATTCGAATGATCTCTGTGCACTAATGTTTTATTGGGTTTTAGAATCCAGTTTGTTGTGTTGAAGTGATTACATTTCCCAACTTTAACCTCTGCACGCATAAGTTTGATTTGTGGAACATTGTGTTCAGACTGTTAGGAGTTAATGTGTAACTGATCCATTCAGTGTCCCTTCATGTTTCTTAAATGTTTGTTTTTATGGGTCATTGAGGCGTGGCTAAATCAGGTTGCTGTAACTAAATAATATTTTTACTTTTATTTAAAAAAATGTTTTATTCTTGTTTCATTGCAACAGTTTCTCTTTATAAACATTAGATTGGAAACTTGTTCACGGTGTATTTTTGGTTCAGTGGGTTTTAATTGGTCAATAAAAATGGCTGCACTGCTGTAAATGTGACCTCCATGACTCTTCTGATTTGTTCTTTTTGAATTTTAAGTCATATATTAATGCAGAAATTTTAATTAATATGGCACCAAATGAGGAAGGTGTTGGATAAGAGAATGTGTTTTTAAGAGCTGAAGTTTTGCTTCCTGCTCAGCCGGTCCACATCCCMTGGAGCCGAGCGAGCAGCTTCACCTGGAACCAGAAGACTGTTGAATCCTTCCAGCTTTGGACTCCTTCTGATTCACATCCTAATTTTAACACGTAAGCTAAAAGCATTACACGTAAGCTAAAAGCATTATAAGCTTTATTTTTTTTTTTTTTGAGTAAACATTGTTTTAAGACTGAGTCCCTGCAAAACAGAGTTCACTGAAGTCCACCAGAGGGCAGTGTGACATCTTTTTTTCTGTTAAAGCAGTTTGTAATAAAACAAAAAAATCAAAAGGGAAAAATCTATTTATTTATATTTATTATTATTTATTTACTAAAGAGGTTTCAAAGGCTTAAGTTCATTACCAATCCAAAAATCAGGAATAACAGGCTGGCTAAGATGAGTTCCCAAGAAATACACAACTAATGGCACTCAATTTAAAGCAGAGATTTAAGAATGGAAAAAAAAATCTGAGCCACATTTTATTTTATTAACACAAATTCAAAACTACTGATCCCAGTTTTAACAATAAAAAATGTTTACAGATGTAACTTCATCTTCTGCTGCTTATCTGTAGTCAAGTTGTGGAGGCAACAAGTCCAGGAGAGAAACCCAGACCTCCCTCTGTCCAACGACACTTTCCACCTCATCCCGGGGGACCCCGACGTGTTCTCAGGCCAGAGAGGATACATAATCTCTCCAGCAGGTTGTGGGTTTTCCCCAAGGCCTGCTACCAGCAGGATGAGTTTGTACCCTGCAAAAACTGTCCATCTTACCAAGTTTTAAAATCTTATATCAGCCAAAAAGTCTTTTTGATCTTGTTTTGAGACTGATTTACTAAACAAAAACTGATTGTGTAAGAATAATAATCTTGTTTTCAGAATGTGTAAGATTATTTGTCTTGTTAGCCTGAAAATTTGACTCAAATTAAGTCAAAAATGTCTGCCAATGGAGTAAGAAATTTTTACTTGGTAAGATTGTTGAAATAAGAAAAAATTGAGTCAAATCAAGTCTTTTAAGAATCTTACCAAGTAAAATTTTACTTGGAATGTAGACAGACCCATAAATCCAGAGCTTCGTCTTTCGCTCTTTCTTCACCATGACTGACAAAAGCAGCGTTCTCATTACTGAGGACAAGACCCCAATCCCATCTCCCGCTCCATCCTGCCATCCTTTGTGAACAAAACAGCCAGATACTTAAACTCCTTCACTTGAAGTACAGATGCCCCCATGACCCAGAGGGGGCATGCCAACCTTTTCCAGTCAACAACCATGGCCTCAGATTTAGACAAACCAGCTACTGTCTGTCCCAGTGCCCAGTGAAGATCTTGGCCTGAGGACACCAACAGAATCACATCTGCATAAAGCATAGATAAAAAATAATCTGTGGCTCTAAAACCACCCTCCTCTCCAGGACTGCAGGTTGAGATCCTGTCCATAAACCCCACCAACATGATCAGACAAGGGACAGCCCAGGTGGAGTCCAACCTGCACCAAGAACTCGCTCAAGTCTAGGCTCTCTCCAGGWGTTGGGTTCCAGAGCCCGAGCTGTGTGTAGAGCTGAGCTCAGCTGGTATCCCTCAACATCACATACAAACTCCGGCTCCTTCATCATCTGTCAGGTGACGTCCCATGTACCTGGAACTAGTRTACGCCACCAGGAATCGTAACGATCAGGGACCCTCTCTCGCCTGCCGCCCAGCATCTATCCTTCCTGAGCTTGATGGTGCTCCCTGCAGAGGAGGAGTCCCGGAACACTTTTGGGCTTGGCCCAGCTGAGCCCCGGTAGCCAAAGTTTGACAAACAAAGTTAGGTGAAATTTTTGACACAAATGACTGAAAGTGTGTTTAGGTCAGTGAAGCACCGCTGTGTTTTGCTACTGCTCAAGTGTTGCAGCTGGCCAGACACAAACATACTAGTTTTTTAAGTTAATCTATTAAAGTATTAAATTATACTGTATATTACAGTACATAATTACAGCAAATATTAGGTCTTTGGTGAGCTGCCTTTTTTTCAAATACACATTTCTAATGAGCTTTTGTTGGGAATACTGGGTACTCAACCAGTCAGGTATGTCCAATGCTCCTCACCCCCTAAAAGTTACAGGGAATTTAAAAAGTAACACCTCCCTTCAAGAGCTGCTGAGTTAATTTCAACCCAGGTAATCTGGTTTGTCTCTGGTTCCTGCAGCGTAAAGACATCTTAAGATCAAAGCTGAACAGGGTTAATTTAAAAATGATTTTAAATTAATAATTTTAGGGTTATTTTTGTTTAGGTTTATTTGTGTATGAAGTTTTCTGCTGGTCAGACCCAGGTGTGTTATGGAAGCAAGAAGATAAGTGAAAATAAGTGACAAAATTCAAGACCGATAAGAAAGGTTTAAAGCAGGAGTGTCAAATTCATTTTCACTGAGGGCGACATGAGTGTTATGGTGGCCCTCGAAYGGCCACTTGTAATTAACTTTGACATTTCATGTTTAACTTTGACTAAACAGTTTTAACATGTCCTCTTTTAAACACTGATAAGAACTAAGTGTATGACTGATTAAATCTGAAATGAATACAGAAGTATTATTAAAAGTAAAAAAACTAAAAGTTTTACTGACTTGAGTCTCTAGTAAGTAGCTAATATGCATTATGACAGATTTAGATTATGTTTGATGGTGACTTTTAAGCAGTTTATTTTCGGACATTAATACTATACTATCCAACTAAATTGCTGTTACTTCATCAGTTCAGTGGCAGGACAATTGTTATTATCTTTCACCTTTTAAGTTTATTTTGTTGCATTTAATCATAAATTAAAAGTTTACCATTGATATAACAATGTTCATGTTAAGTAAAAAAAAATTTTTTTTGGGGGGGGGGCACACAGGAGTCACCCACGGGCCACATCTGGTCCGCGGGCCTTGAGTTTGACATGTGGTTTAAAGGTTAGGAAAGGTTTAAAAATGTCGAGAATTTCTTCAGAAAACTTACTTTAATTTACTTGAACATTTCCTTGAAAATGCATAATTCTCTTTCATCACAAGAACTCCCACATGGTCCAGGATATCCTCTTGTTAACAGCTCAGGCTTCACTCTAGGTTACAAAATAATTAACCATTAATGCTAGGCAAAATTACTCAACCAACTACTAGGATATTTGTCCATTACAACAGGTAACAGGCAGACAAATGGTCGTAGTCTGAGTAATTTTGCCTAGCATTATCCGTCATTGCTTTATYTAAGTAAAAACACTTTTTTGACAGAAATCAAAAGTGCATTACAAATGTAAGTTCTAAATAAATAAACAGTCCACACAAAGATGTAAGTTATTGTAAAATTATATTAACAAGCATTTTTTTCCTCAATTTGAAATAAAAAATATCAGCAAATAAAGGCAACATAGGACAGATGTGTATAATGTGTAATGTTCACAGGTAAAATAATGAAACAAATTCTCATCACATTTACAAGACTAATGCTAAGTTTATCATGACGCCTACTAGAATCAGTTTAGAAAGCTTTGACTAACTGAATAACTTGGGCAATATATATATATAGTCAAAGTTTGTATCAAAATATAAAAAACAAAAACACATTGGTGAGAAAAAAAAAATGGGGCGAAGGATCGGGGCTAAAGAGACGACCAGTGATACAGGAGATGGACAACCATCGGGTTTAAAACAGGCGACTCATCCAAAGCCATTTTATCAGAAGTCAACCAAATGGGACAGAAAACAGAAGGCTACGGCCATGAGGAGCACAGAGTGTTTAAGCACAGGCAGGTAAAGAGATACACACCACATCTTAAAGCAAGTGTCCACATAAAGAGCAGCACTAGGTAGTATGTTGTACAGATTCTCAGCACTCATGCACTCACTTCCTTATAACATCTGGCTCCTCTTGACAAGCAAACAGCAGCAGTCCAGCTGTTTGCTTCAAACAGCTCAGAGTGCCGAGCAGTTCAGCCGTCGGGAACAAACAGGATCAAACAGCACGAACCAACCAACCAACCGAGCTCTGGCGTGCCACAAAAAGGTCGTCACAATAAAAGCCGTATTTCTTAAACATGTTCTCCACAAAAAAGAAAAAAAAAAAAAAATCTCTTTGAACAGAAGGATGGGTTTGGGAAGAATGGTATATCATTGAGTTTTAAAAGGCAAATTCTGAGTCCAACGTCGACCGACATTTTAAACAGAATACATGGCAACAAAGTAAAAATGACAAGACAAAGACTTTCCAAGCTCACAATGCATATGCACACCCTCCAGTGTTTAAATGACAAAAGTGGATATTTTTCCTGCACATCTTGCACCACAAAGCAATCATTAAAATGTACAAGAGGTAAACGTCAACCTTTTTTTTCCCTGTTCGCTCAGGAGGTTGATGGGACTCAGGGGGGATTCGGGGGGACAGGGGAGTCTGCAAAAAACAAAACATGTAATAAATGCATTTCAGTAGCTGGTTTTGTCGCGTGTGGTGGTAATAAATGGGAGAAATTGTCCTTCGTGTTGCGTAAGAAGCAGTAGTTGCCAGTCGTTTTAATTTCTCCCCAATCAGCATTCTGGCGTTAGTGTGGAACCAGATTGGCGCCTGTCCCTGATTTGGCGCTGATGTGTTTGGCGAACACGAGTTCTGCTGCGAGTTCAGATCCTTGGAATGATGGCAAATAATGCTGGGAAGGGGTGGAGGACAGGAAGGATGGTGGGGCAGGAGGGGGTCGTCACACGCTCATCGTCATGGTTGGAGAGTACTGTGGAGCCGGAGAGGACAAGATTAAGACCACACACTGTTTCTGAATCTAACAATAATTGATTTGATTTATTTATTTAACAGGAAAAGATTACTAAAAATCAAGCCTGACTCAGCATAATTGCTGTTTTACAGCAGGTTCCTGTTCTGCAGCACATAAAACACTCAGAATAACAGCATCACAATCACATCATTATACACCATAGACACAAAGACAAACAAGCATACCAAATTTCAAAAAGGCAGCATTTGCAAAATAGGACGTATAAATATGAGCATAATGCATAATAATGCATAATAATGCTCATATTATTATGCTATTAATTAATATTATGGCATAATAATGCCATAATAATGAAAACAAAGATTCAACATATTCTTTTGTTGTAATCAAAGATTTCTACAAGTTGTGCCTGTTTTTTAGCAATTCACATAACAAAACATCCAGCTAATTTGGGAGATATGCAGCTATGGCTTCTGTTTTTAGTATCTTTTATAAATTTCAAAATATTTGACTTCATATAGTTATACAGAAATACCAGATCTCTTAATTATTTCAGAAACAGTGCTCTCCTTGAAATCTGCCTCAAGCTTACTTGCTCTTTTTGGTCCCTTATATTTTAGCCTTTAGGTAGTCTTTTGCTCAGTTTGAATTTGGCCTGCCATTCATTACTCTTAGCTTGACTTTTGATTCTTTTTGCTAACCTTGTGCCACTTTTAGCTAGGCTTTTAATGCTTTTAAAATGAAGTTAGCTTTTTGATAATTCTATTAAGCCTTTTACTATTTTTGCCTTTAAGCTTTTTTGATCATTCTAGTTAGCTTTAGCCTGCCTTTAGTAATTTTTAGCTTGTTTTTTAAATTCTTTTAGCTAAGCTTTTGTCAAATTTATCTAGCCTGGTAAAAACCAGACCCAGACCCTCACTTTGCTTCATAAGAGGGTCTAGACATGCGGCTATAGAGACACAATTCTTGCTGGAGGCGTGGCCTCTGCTGAAGTTTAAAATGATTGGATCTGTTGGCCGCGCCGTATGCATGCATCCACTGTGAAGGAAGCTAAGCTAAGAAGCTAACCGGAAACTGCGTGCGCTGTAAACAACCCTACTGAGAGGAGAGAAGTACCGAGCCGAACGAGATGACTGTAATTGAGAGCTGCTGCTTTGTCAGACAAATTTAATTTGGAAGCCTTATCAACACAGACTGGCTTCATTCACTTCCTCCACTGTCATTGCTAACTAACTAGCAGACACTGCGCAGAACATCGACGTTGTTCAAAACTCCGCCTTCTGTTCTCTGATTGGCCCGGACAAAATTCTCCTGAAGAAATCCTTGTCTATGGGAGAAATCCCAGATGGAGCAGTGAAAAGAAACTAGAATTGAGCAGAGAATTAGCCAGTCTTTTGCTACTTGTAGATAATGACTTACACTTTTTTTGTTTTGATTTACTTTTGTTGGGGGGTGGACGTGAGGGGGTGTCRTTGGTTTTTCTTTGGCTTTAACAACAGTTTCAGCTTCTTCAGCAGATTTTAGCAATCAATCAGGACTCAGTATTTACTCATTCTCTCTTGTTGTGTTGTTGTTGTTTAGTTAAAGGCAGCAGGAATATGTCCCACACTTCAGAACATCACAGCCACTGTTCTGTGTTGCTAACCCAGAGAGGAATCTAAGGAAAAGCAAAACTCACGTTCTCACTCTGGAAGGAGTGGAGGAAGTTTCCACTCAGCTCCCCGTCATCCCTTGGGGTCCCAGGAGGATTGCTAATGCCACTTAAATTGTTTGGAGAGTTCTAGAAATAAAAAAAGAACATTGGTTTAGAATCTAAATCTGAATTATGAATTTAACTTCCACTTATAAATCTATAAATGCATAAACTCTTGAGTTTAGTCATTATTTACCTTGTTCATTCCGTCCATATCACCAGAGCCTAAAACAACATAAAAAAATATTAAAAATCTTGAATAAAATATYCAAGAATCATGTTCTTCTACAAAAAATATTTTTAAAATGACTGTTTAGAGGATTACAATGAAGGTAAAGTGTTATTTCTTTAGTGCAAATCAAGCATTTCTGTYTTGTTGGTTCAGTTTGCTGCAGTGAGGAGTTACCTAGTGATCCATTCATGTGGTGTGGTTCCATCCCAGCCATGGCCCCCAGAGGCCCATCAGAGCCAGGGCCCATAGAGAACTGGAGGTGTAAAAGAATAGCAATTGTTTGGCATAGTTAGATTTAAATGACGTGTTCAGTTAAAAAAAAACTCTCAACAAATGCTGCAGAAAAAACTGAAAAGAATCAGCACTTGATACGGAACATGGTCAAACTCAAGGCCTGCAGGCTGAATCTGGCCCATGCTAACATTTTATCTGGCCCAAAAGGTAATATTTTAAATCAGGGGTTGTGTTACTGGAATATTTTCCATATTTGACCAGTTTTTTTACGAAGGAAAATTCTGAAAGGCCGTCCGTCACTTTGACAGATTGCAATTAACACCSCTGACCACTTAAGTCTGGAAGACCTAACGAATAAAGGTGAGGTGGAGAAAAAAATTCAACGAGGCTTCAAAAGACGGAAAGTCCTGTGGCATCACACTCACAGAGACATTTTCAGCTTCACGCACACAGTAGGCCCACATCACGGACGTGTCTTATTCAATCTGCAGATCTCTGGCTGTAGGATACTCACTGTGTGTGTACCTTGACATTTTCCTTTGAGTTAAAAAATCTTTTAGAATTATTTGACTTTTTATTGCATAAATCAAATCCATATCCCTGCTCTMTTTTTATTTCATAATATTTTTAACACAGCGACAGCGGCATGTTGTGACTGACAGCATCTCTGCCTTCATACCTTTCTCTCTCAGAGACAGAAATAAGGAYGCATTATCTAATGTTGCAAACTGCAGCCACTAAACGCTTGTTGATTTTTTATTTTTGTTTTTTGACTTTTCCTAAGGTAACTGAGTCAAAACTGGGACAGTGTGTATGCGTCACATTGTGCGCTTTAGGCCTGGTGTGGGACAGATGAACTGTTTTTCGGCACCATGCATAGGGTGTGGCCTGTTTTTGTGTGAGGTGTGGTGATTGTTTTGTGCATACTCTCTGATAAAATCCTGCAGGTGCCCCATTCAGAACAACATCAAGGAGAAGTCATCTGAGGCAAAACTGTAAAACCTCATGACAAGAGCCACATTCTYTTGAATGTTTAGTCATTATTGTTTAAAAAAGATAAAGTGACAGGTAAAAAGGATCACGATGGAATTTTGTTGACCCCGTCAGTCAAAATAACGGACAGCATAAAAAGTCTTGCACAATCTCTACTTTAAATGTAAAATAATTTTATGGTTTTGCTGTATTTAGTGCATACTTCTCATGAAAGTCAGCCAACCGCCAAGCCAAGAAAATTTAGTTTGAATTTTTCAGTATTRTTTGATTTTGGTGAGGAAAGTGCAACAGAGAATCATCTTTAATTAACCTTTTCTGTATTTCCTTACTACTTTAGTTGCTTTAATACAATTTTACTGAGGATTTCCTTTTATWTAACTGATTAGCTGGACTGTGATAAAATGTATCTCTAAGATATAATAAAAAAAATTGTTGTTGGAGAGTAAGGCATAATAAATGAATGCTAAAAATGTGTCTTGAAAAAGCTCATGTGTATTTCTAAAATAATTTGTTATATAACATTTATTTCAATATATATTGAAAGAAATTGTCACTTCACTTGGACCAAGTTTTGAATTTTGTCCTCCTTGTGTAACTGAGTTTGACACGCCTGTGCTACAGAATGCTCTTTACTGACAGATTTCTGTTTCACTGTGTTCCGGAGACATAAAAATTCAAAAAGAAGCAAGAAGCTGGAGAAACTCTGAGAGCAAGTTAATAAAAGTCCAGAAGAAAAGTGATGACCCTTAATGTAAGTATGATTTTTCTTAAAGAAGTGGGAGTTATGTGTGTGTGTGTGTGTGTGTGTGTGTGTGTGTGTGTGTGTGTGTGTGTGTGTGTGT